GACGAACCGACAACAAGGATAACGCTGCCGATGACACTCGGTAAGGGGGCCAACGCCAGAAGGAGGATGAGGAGGCGGACGAGGAGGAGGAGGCGTAGGAGGAGAAGGAGGAGGGGGAGGAGGAGGAGGAGGAGGAGGAGGAAGGTCCGTTCGAAACGATAAGTCACGTCCGTTCGAAACGATAATTCACGTCCGTAACCATTTTGGCTCAAGACAGAGCAGCACAGCCAGTCTACACCGCCTGTGCTGTCAGCACAGGTCGACTCAGCAATGTCGGGCGGCCAGCGCAAGACTGTCAAGCAGCAGGAGAAGCAGCCCGCGGATCACCAGAAGCTGGAGGCCACCATCTCAGATCTCAAGGCCAAGCTGAAGGCCAAGACGAGATCGCTGAAGGCCTTCCAGTCGAGATTCGCCAAGCAGAAGGTCACGATCAAGATCCTCAAGGACAAGACGCGGGTCGCGGCCAGCGTCAGCAAGACTCTGGCCACTGTGATGGCCACTTTGCACAAGAGCGGCCTCAGCGTGGACAAGTGAACGCGGTCAGAGCCGTGCCGACCGCCGCTCGCCCTTCAGCGCTCGTGGCCAGCAACTATCACGACGTGCATGCGCGAGCGCACTTTTGTTTAAACACCGTGCTCGGCTGCGCCAGCGCCCTGCGCCAGTGCTCGCTTGCTGGGAGTGGTTCGTGCCTCGCCAGCTCGACCAGCGCACCGCAGTGCATCACTCAACCCATTATCTCGGCCATCAGCTCGCCGCCCCATCAGCCCAGCAGCGCCCCCCTCCTCCCCCCCCTCCTCCTCCCGCCCCCCCATCCCCCATCCCCCGTCCCCCCCTCCTCCCCCTCCTCCTCCTTCTCCTCCTCCCCTCCTCCCCTCATCCTCCTCGTCCTCCTCATCCCCCCCCCCCCCCCCCCCCCCCCTCCTCAGCTTAGCAGCTCACTACCTCGATCATCAGCGCGAGCGACAGCTGATCAGTTCACCAGCTCATCGGTTCGACCATAACCGTCGTCATCTGCTCACTAGCTCACCCGCTCGCCATGCCGATCGCCAGCTCGATCACCAGCCCAACATGTCGTCAACGTGTCGCATCCTACTCATCATCATCTCCGCCCCGTCCCCATCTTCATCCTCCTCCTCCTCCTCCTCCTCCTCCTCCTCCTTAGAGCCACTCCATTCTTCGAGGCCTTGGGCTTGGTCGCCGTGCCCCTCTGCGTCGGCGCCGTCATCGCGGGCTCAGATTTTCGCCACCTTGTAGTCGGCCTTCACAAGGTCCTTCTGCATCGGCTTGGCCTTCACCGTGTCCCTCTGCGTCGGCGCCTGCATCGCGGATGTCGCCTCCACTTTGTAGTTGGCCTTCATCGTGTCCTTCTACGTCGGCTTGGCCTTCTTCATCGCCGGTTTCGGCTTCGCCTTGTAGTTGGCCCGCTGGTCTGACAGCGGCCCGATGGGAAGCGCACCGACCACACGCACCAATATCAAATTGTCGGTGTGCTTGCCATCGGGCCGCTGTCAGACCAGCGGGCCAACTACACGATGAATGCGAAACCCGCGATGAAGAAGGTCAAGCCGACGCAGAAGGACACGGTGAAGGCCAACTACAAGGTGGGGCGACACCAGCGATGAAGGTGCCGACGCAGAGGGACACGGTGAAGACTTAGCCGATGCAGAAGGACCTTGTGAAAGCCAACTACAAGATGGCGAAAGCGAAACCCGCGATGACAGCGCCGATGCAGAGGGGCACGGCGACCAAGCCCAAGGCCTCGAATCAATGAGTGGCTCTAAGGAGGAGGATGAGGAGGAGGAAGATGACGGGGATGAAGAGGAGGACGGGGCGGATGATGCTGATGAATATGACGGGGAGGCAGATGAGGAGGATGCGGAGGAAAACGCGTAACATGTATGCTGGTGCGAGCGTTTGACCTCTGTGGCGCGGTTGCGATCACGTTTTCCCGTAGGCGCACATGCGTCGCGGCCACCATGGGACGATTTGGATAGGAGGAGGAGGCGGGGGAGGAGGAGGAGGAGGAGGAGAAGGATTAGAAGTAGGAGGAGGAGGGGGATGAGGAGGAGGAGGCGGAGGACGGGGGCGGGGAGAATGAAACGTAGGATGATGCGGCAGACTAGGGGATGATGAAGTAGTGTGTGGTTCCGCCCTCGGCGACAACAACGTGCGACGACGGCGGCCGCCTACGATCGACCGTCCTCGTCGTCGCCGTCGTCGTCGGCCGTCGTCGTCGGTCGTCGTCGACCGTCGTCGCCGATCCTCACCGCCGCTCGTCGGTCGTCGGCGTCGTCGTTGGTCGGTGTCGTCGTTGGCCGCCGTCGTCGATCGTCGTCGTCGACCGTCGTCGCCGCTCCTCGTCTCCGATCGACGGCGTCGTCGTTGACCGTCTTGGTCGTCGTCGTGGTCGTCGTCGTCGTCGTCGTCGTCGTCGATCGCCTTCGCAGATCGCCGTCGTCGTCGACCGCCGTCGTCGTCGTCGATTCGCTCTCTCCACGCCCCCCCCCGGCGCGGCCGCTGCGCCTCCGCGCCGCCAGGCCTGAGCGGCGACATCGCCCTGAAGGGAAGCGGCGGCCGCCGTCGCCGATCGTCGTCGTCGACCGTCATCTTCGACCGTCGTCGCCGATCCTCGTCGCCGACTGTCGTCGATGAGCGTCGTCGTTAATCGTCGTCGTCGTCGTCGTCGTCGGTCGCCCTCGCCGATCGTCGTCGCCGCCGTCGGTAGCCGTCGTCGTCGTCGCCAGCCGCCGTCGTCGATCGTCGTCGTCGTCGTCGTCGGCCGTCGTCGCCGATCCTCGCCGCCAATTGTCGGGATCGTCGATGATCGTTGTCGTCGCTGACCGCCGTCGCCGATCGTTGTCGTCGACCGTCGTCGCCGATCCTCGTCGCCGATAGTCGGCATCGTCGTTAATCGTCGTCATCGTCGGTAACCATTGCCGACGGCGACGCCGATCGCTATCGTCGTCGTCGTCGTCGTCGTCGTCGATCGCGGGCGCCTCCGCGCCGCGCCGCCTCTCGCCGCGCCGCGCCGCGGCCCGCGGCAGCCCGAGCCGACGGGACGGACGGGCAAGGCAGCGCGGCCGCGACCCGGCCCTCTCCCCGTTCCTCCCCTTCTCTTCCGTCGAGCCCCCCTCCCGTCCACCCTCGCCCCTCCCGTCCGCCCTCCCCCTACCACTCCCGTCCACCCACCCGCCCCCCCCTCCCCGTCCACCCTCCCTCCCCTCCTCTTCCTCCTCCTCCTCCTCCTCCTCCTCCTCCTCCTCCTCCCCCCCGCGTCCGAGCGAGTGGTGCGTCCTGGCCAGAACTTCGAAGGGGCGCCCAACCGTGAAGACCAGGAGGAGGAGTAGGAGCAGGAGGAGGAAGAGGAGGAGGAGGAGGAGGTGGAGGAGGAGGAGGATGAGGAGGAGAGGGAGAGGAGGAGGATGAGGAGGAGGAGGATGAGCAGGACGAAGGAGGAGACCGAGGAGGAGGAGGAGGAGGAGGGAGGAGGAGGATGAGGGAGGAAAAGGAGGTTGTCGAGTTGGTTCACCCAGCGTAAATATGTTAGCGTCATCGCACTCACGTGGTTACGAAGTGTTACGACAGTTACAAACAAATACGGAAAGTTACGAACGTTACGGACCTCTATAAGTTCGGTGTAACGAAGTTGCAGAAGTCTGGGTTACGGTGGCGCTAACATACGTATGCAAGTTCCGTCGAAGTCCCTAGTAACAATTCAGAACCTGGATAAGACCAAAAACCACAAAGTAGGGGGGGTGGATATCATGTGGTGGGCCATGATATTTCCCCAGATCTCATGGCGCCTCTTCTTCTTTCATAACGTTCCTGGCCCCCCCGCTGGGCCGCGCACGTGCCGCCGGTCATGATTTGCACCCCCCCCCCTCTTGGACACCCCCCTCTTGGCCGCTCCCGATAGTTCCCAACACGCGTGCCTGAAGCCTTTCCGCAGGTCCTTCGCAGCTCCTCCGCAGCTCCTTCGCAGCTTGCTCTCCGAAGCGTGCAAGCTCCCCAAAAGCCTGTCTCCCAGCGCCCTGGCACGCGTCTCCCCCACGTTTCCCCGGCCTGCAAACTCCCCTGGCATGCGTTCCAGCGCCCTTGCCAGCGTCTCCCATCCGCGTCTCACGCGCTTTGGACTGCGTCGCTATCCGGGACTTGGATTGCACAGGTGTAAACCCTGCGCCCTCTAAGAAGCATCCTCCTTCTAAGAAGCCTCCCCCCCTCCCCCCACCCCCCCTTTCCCCCAACCCCCTGAAGGCGCATCCGGCGCTCCTGGCGCGCTGCGCGCACACGGGCAGGGGGTGCCCTCCTCCTCCTCCTCCTCCTCCTCCTCCTCCTCCTCCTCCCGTTCCTCCTCCTTCCCCTCCTCTTCCTCTTCCAGGCCCAGACGACGGGCTGCGACGAGGCGGCGACGGCGTGGCGACGGCGACAACATGGCCGCCAGACTTGCAACCAGGCCTTGTTTTCTTTAGAACACAAGTCGTAACCCCCAAGATCGAACACGATTCGGGGTAACGTCACACCAAACGATGGCACGTTTTAGCCACATGTTTGTACACATGTTGTAACTTTACATGTTAACATGTTTTCGTCAAACAACTGTGGCATGGTGCTGTTCATACTCATGGGGGTATCTTCGTGGGCCTCGTCATATGTCGACGCGTTTGCAGTTTTTGACCAAAGGAGGCTGCGCAGGGGGCGATCCCTGAACGCAGTTTCTAAACAGGGCAGGGCTGCAAGGTGTGGCGGGCGTGGCCCGACGCCAGAAGGGGGCGCGCAGGGACTCGTCCTGGAGCGCGAAGCGCCAGGGTGGTCGCGGGGATGTCGCCCCCCGCAATCCGATTTGCCCCGTTTTCCTTTACTCCTAGATATGTGCCCTGCAGCGCCGGGATTTTTTTTGGTATCAACTTGCCACCGTGAATGTCGTATCCACACTGTTTGAAAGCATTGTGTGGATATATGTTAGTCCAGGGAAATCATTTGTCTAGCTATTCGGGGTCACCCTGCTCGTTACATTCCCCTTCGGTGCCCTCCTCCCGTCGTAGGCCCCCACCGTCGCACAGTGGTCCTACTCCAGAGCCGCCGAGGCTCTCCGTGCAGCTGCTTTGGCATAGACCAACCACCTTTAGCTAGCAGCCTTGCGAAGAAATACGATACGAACCAGTCGGAAGCTGGGCGAGGGCTGCTACAACCGTGGCTGCCAAAACGGGCCCTCCCGGAAGGAGAAAGCAGCTTCCCGGCATGAGGCGCGGCTCGCCCGGCAGTCAACGGGCTCCTTCCCGAAAGGACGAAGACACCTTCCCGGAGGTCGATGTTATCAGCCACGGTTGGGCGTTGCGTAATGGGGGGGTCATAAATGGGGGGGTGGCGAGGGTGGTCCGAAAAGGTACCCAAACGGTACCTATGGGGGGCTCTGCGAGGGTGGTCCGAAAAGGTACCCAAACGGTACCTAAACGAGCCCCCTGGGGCTCCACGAAAGGGGAAAGGGGCACGAAAGGGGACCGTTTCTGACCCCCCCATTTGTGACCCCCCCATTAAGCAACGCCCAACACGGATTTGGCAGCCCTTGCCCGGCCTCCGATCCAGGGAACCCGTCCCATGCTCTACCGCGATGGCGCTCCGAAGGCCGCCGCCGGCGACTGTGGATCCTCGCGTGCGCCAGCCGCCCCAGCTGCGGCGCGCAGTTTTGGGCCGCCGTTTGTCTTGCTCCCGCGTGGCGAGAGGGCCCGCCCTGTCGTGCTCGGGACATCCGCTGGCCTCGCCCAGCGGTCCGTGATCGCCAACGCGTCCTACGACAGCAGGGACGCTCTGCACCGTAGATTTCCACAATGCACCGACGTGCATCCCGACTGGCTCATGCAGGTGGACGCGACACATGCATGGGGAGTGGTGTGTTCGCGCACGCCTCTCAGTTCCACCGCCCGGACATACGTCCCTGCAGGGGGATTTGATCGTACCAACCAGCAGCGGCACCGACAGCGACAGTGCATTGACCGAGCACTGAAGCGCCAGCAGGCCAACGAGTCGGCCAGGGTGCATGCGCTGGCTTTGCAAGGTGAGCTGGGCTTCGATCCCGGGGCAGAAAGCGAGCGCCACATCAGTATGGTCATGAATGAGCAGGTGCCACCAGAAGATCATCCATTTCCCTGCAGAGATGGTTTCCTGCTTCCTCCGTCGACCGTTACAAGCAGCTGTGTACCGCATACGCTGTACACGTACTTCTTTGAGGAATCTCCCTGTGCTCGGCGCTGAGAGACCTTTTGAGGACCTTGGCGTGGCGGAGCCTTCGCGGTTTCGTGTCTCATGGCCTTCGGCTCGTCCCGCCCACCGTCCCTGGGTGTTGGGCCAGAGGCCTCTTTGGAGGCCTCCTCCTCCTCCTCCTCCTCCCTCTTCCTCCTCCTCCTCCTCCTCCTTCTCCTCCTCCTCCTCCTCCTCCCTCCTCCTCCTCTCCTGGGGTCTCGCAGCCTCTGGGGGCCTTCTCGGGGCGCGCACTGGGGGCCTCTCGAGCGACTCGGAGGCCTCCCTCGGGGCTGGCCCGCGGTCCCTGGGGCCCTCATGCAGGTTCCCAAGCCTTGGATGGGGGAACCGAACCAGCCCTGATCCTGGTCCCCATCGTTGGGCTGCCTTGGAGGCTTCTTGGGCTCCTCCTCTGGGGGCCTGCATGTTCGTGGCGTTTTGTCTCTCCGTGGCATCTCCCAAGACCGCGAGGCGACCGCCCTAAGCTTTTTCGGCAAGCACATATTCTCCCTGCTTTTGGCCTCTCGAGCCAGCCCCGAGTGATGTCTAGACGGATCAAGAGACCCCTCGAGCATCTTGGGCCGTTTCGGGTTCTTCCTCCTGGTCCCCTTTGGTTGGTTGTGCTGGGGGCGTTGTGGGCCAATGTCTTCCCAGGCCGGCATTCGTGCCTGGTCTGTCCCTCCCTCCCTCCGTGGACGACTTCCCCAAGACCGAGAGACGATCGTCCCAGGTCTTCGTATGCTCTGGCCTTTGGGACCGGCTCCGAGGGCTCTCCAGAAGGATCAAGAGACCCTTTCTTCACAGGGTTTGGGACGGCTCCCTCAAGACCACGCTCCCAAAGCGTCAGGGAAGTCACGCGACACATCGCAGGATCGCTCAGGAGATCTGTAAGTTTGGGGTACGGGGTCGTTCAGTTTGAAGGGCCCTGAGGACACTTCGTTCAGTGTGCGTAACAAGGTGGCGGACTTCACAGCTTAAGTGATGTATCCAGGATGAACAGTAAACGCTGTAGGACGTCATATAGCTGACTAGGGAGAAGGGGGTTGCGAAGTTCCCTGCATGGACTCAGTGTACCGAGCCCTTCATGCCAATATTTTTGTTTCTGTTGCTCCAAGGTTCCGCGAGTCACGGAAGGACTGGGAGAAAAAGGAGAGTTGGCGAGCAGCAGCGGAGAGGGGGAATTCTGTGTACTCATTTCGGTGCGAGCAGCGGGTCACGCACATTTTTTTGGCTTGTCACGGGCATCGTCGTGGGACGGTCCGCACCGTGGCTCGCCGTTTCTGTTCCAGGGTTATGTTATTGTGCAATCATTTGATTTGTTCTGCTGCTGCGTCGGGTATTCGGATCCGCAACTGGCGTTTCTCGAAGCAGGTGGTCTGTGAGAGTCCCGTTTCATGCAGTTCAGACGCCGAGCATGGGGATTGCGGGATCTGGAATTGATCTGGTTCCTTGGTCCCCCGTGGCCTTCCGTGGTCTTCCTTGGTCTTTCGTGTCCGCCTGTGTCATCCCGACATACTCGTTCCGTTAGGCATTCTGCTGTGTGTGGTCATTCTAGGTGTATCCGTCTATGGCGCCCTCTCTTTGGCCCATGTCTAAAGTTGTTCACGGTATTCTGCCATAGTGGTGTATTGGGTTGCTCTTTGTGACATGTCCTAACTACGGGGCTCTTTGTGATTATTGGGACTGTTGCACTTCCTCACCCCCTGCCTCGTTCGCATTCAGAGTACTTGTGCTCAGGCCAAGGAGGTATCGGTCGCGATGCGATGGATGTCGATCATAGTTCCCTCCATGGTCTGATCTGCGGGTCCTCGGCGCCATGCGCAGCTTCAGACACGGCATGCTGGAGAGAAGGATCAGCATGTTGCGATCCCGAGATCCCAAACTGTTGCTGGGGGGCTGCTACATCTACAGTTTGAATTCCGTGCTCCCTTCTCTCGATCAGTTCACTTCTCGGTTGTACCGAGAGATGTTCCAGGTATTGTCACATCTGTTTTCTGGTACCTTGTTGCGCAACTTCAGACACGACATTATGATCATAAGTGGTATCGATTTATGGTGTTCACGCTCCCTGAATCACATGGAAGTCCTGCATTCACGCGAGGCTGTTGGCGCAGCGCCTCGGGCCCCTCCTGCATCTTTCTCTCTACATGTGCGTCGCAGGCGCCCTCCCTCCCCCTGCTCCTCCTCCTCCTCCTCCTCCTCCTGCTCCTCCTCCTCCTCATCCTCATCCTCATCCTCCTCCTCCTTCCTCCTCCTTCTCCTCCATCTCCTCTTCCGTTTCCTCCCTCTCTTCGTCCTCCTCCGAGGTCATTCTTTGTTGAGTTGTGTGTCAGTGCGGACATGTGTTGTTCGCGGCAATCTCCCAGGCATGCTGTGATGCGCCTCCTCTGCTGGTCGTAGCACCAGTCGAGCTTCGTAAACTGCACCACGCCCGTGCGATCCCCGCAGCTCATCGCCTGCAGTCTCTGCTTGGAGTCCTTCCGCCTCTCGTAGTTGGCCTTCACGATGCTCTCCTGGCGTTTCATGGACGCCCCGAGAATGTAACCTTTTCCTTCGGTTTGCACCTGATCGTTATACTTCGCTCCCTGCTCTTCCATGCGAGCTACCTCTGGAATATCGTGTGGCACGATGATCACGTCGAATTAGATTCCCTCCAACGTCCTGCGCGACTGCGCCAACTCTATGGTCATTCTCATCATGAGCACCATGGGCGTTTTGTTGGTTGGGTTGTAGCCGGCTGCGGTCTTGACGACCTTTGCTGTTCTGCGTCTGACATTCGGCGGCGTTGGTGACCCTCGTTCTTGTTGGGCTTGACCACGCCGCCAGCAAGGACCAGGGACATGGCTCGCAGCGGCATCGGGATCAGTCTGGTCGGCGGCACTCGGGCGAACTCGCCTCCCTCGTGGCAAGAGGGCAGCAGGCGGAGGAGGCACGTGGTGCTCGACAGAATCGTCTAGACAATCATCCACACTGTCGTGCTCCTCCCCGCGCGGAGGGCACCTACAAGACTTGGGCACGACGGGGCTCCAATCGAAGGCTTCGCGATTCAGACGGCATCGATGATGTCGCCAAGGATTCGGAACGTGTTGTCGAGCGCAGTCTCTGAGTTGAAAATCAAGTCCATCACCAGGGGCAAACGTTCGAGATCACCGTCGATTTAAGCGGGTTCAACATTCCCCTTTCTCCCCCTGGCCAGACGGAACCTAAGCGAAGCGAAAACTGAAGGATCGGAGAATATTGCGTTAATCGTCCCCCCACATTCATGTAGATTCAACGCATCGCCATTTTTCACGATCCATGATCGAAGACTTGCCTGGTTCGTTCCCGCCTATCAGGCTCACACCGGGGCTCATTCCTGTGTGCCTTGCGGACGAATCCAGCTTACTGGCCCCTTGGTAGTCGTTCTTGCGGATTCATCCCGGGAGTTTGCTTCCTAACGCAGACTTAGACGGACACATGGATGGGTGGAGGAGGAGTCTGATCGCACATCTGGGGTCTGACAGCCCCCGCCCGCCCAGGAACGTTGGGATTTGTTATCGGGGGCCTATCGCCGATCTATCGGCAAATCATCGCCGATTTCAGATCAATGATCCCCCCCGATGCCAGTCCCCCTATCGTCATCGAAGACACAAGACCTCCCAACCCGAGTAACATGGGATGGGGTGGCCTCACGCAGGACCCCGTCTTTGCACTAGGGATAAACTTTCTGGGCGGTTTGTTTGCTACACCTGCAGACAAGAGACCCGCTATGGTTGATCTTGTTGGCCCTCCCAACTCAGGTCCTCTCCCAAAGGGTTCGGGGGTTCTTTTATTGCTGATCATATCGTTGCCCAGTCAATGGACGTCCTGGGGTTCCATTGCGGGGTTTCTTGTGGAAGGTTTCTTGTGGTCGAGTTCCTACTGCACCTTCTCGTTCCCCCCCATCCCCGCCGCCGCCGCCCGCGCGCCATCCCCGCCCCCTCCCCCCCCCCCCCCTCCCTGGCGAGCGAAAGCGGCGCAGGAGGCGCACGGGCGAGACCGCAGGAGGCTGCTGCAGCTGGAGGGCGAGCTGGCGGAGGCGCAGGCGCGGCAGCGGCAGCTGCAGGACCTCCGAGGGGAAAGAGGTCACGACATCATTGAGAACCAAAGATCAGAGCGTGAATGACCTACCCCGCTTTCGCTTCCAGGCAAAACCAAGTCATACCACGCGCCTCCTCGTCAAGCGGCATGACCAGTACAGGCCGTAGTTTGGCATCGCTTGGTATCTCTTGGAAGCGAGGGTGGTCAGAAACGGGGTAGGTTTGTTTGCCCCCTAAAAGAACCCCCTGACCCTAATCACATGATGAAGACGTGGCCTCACTGAGGTCACCGTCGTCGCATTGGGGGATCTACTTCTGGGCCGTTTGGTTCGATACACCTGCAGGAAAGAGCCCCCGCCCCCCGCCCCTCATGCCCTTGACCCTCCTAGCTTAGGTCCCGTCCCAACGGGTTAGGGGCCTCTTTGGGTGAAACATCAGGGGTGCAAGAGGCCATGATACAGTCACCGCGCATAGTAACGATGAGTGGTTTTCCAAAGCCTTTCGAAGAACACAAACGCCGTAAACACGAACTTTTGGCGCTCCGCGCGGATCTGTTGGAAATGCGCCGGCCCCCCCCCTCCCCCCCCGGCGGCGCCTCCAGCGCTGCCCCTGGCGCGCTCCAAGCGCCAGGGAGGGGGGTCCAGAAAGATCCAAAAACTTCGCCCAGAGCGTCAATAGTTTATGGGCATGCCTTTTCTTCTAGCATAATGCCTGCAACGTATCCTGAGCCAATCTCATCGTGTCATGCTTCTCGCTCCAGGACCCTGCGCACGACGACGGCACCGACATCTCAGATCCCCTCCCCTCCCCCTTATTCTTCAGGACCTTCCGCCCTAATCTTCCGCCCCTTTCTCGATATGAGCTACGCGGGCTTCCTTGAAAGGCATAAGGCTTCCACGAGTTTCGACGAATTCTTCCGCACCCGCCGCGGAGGTCAGGAGGGATGGAAGGTGGAGGATGAGGGTCGGGCCATAACCGGAATCACGACGGGCTGTGTTTCGCCAGTTTCGGCCTCCAGGGGCCCTTCTGAGAAGTTTTCTGAGCCCTCCCGGAAGGCGCAGAGAACCCCCCAGAAGGCGCGAGGGGGCTTTGAGAAGTCCCGCTGCGTTCTGAGAAGGCCTTCTGCTTCTCACTTCCCCCCCTCGCTCCCCGCTGAAAGGCGAAGAGAGCTAATCTCGCCATCGCTTGGACGTCCATTCCCTGTGCGTGTCTCGGTCTCGTGCGCGCATCTTCCCGCAAGCCGACCTGAAATTCACCACCCACCAAACCACCCCAACCCAACCCGAAGGCCTCCATTTGCCCTACGTTTCCGGTGAATGGGGGGGGGGGTCGGGTCGGGGAACATTGAGAAAACACACATGGATCCCGTACCCCCCCCAACCCGAAATTCGGCTCTTCGGGTTGGGTTGAGGTGGTGTGGTAGGCAGTTAGAAATGTTCCTCGAGGGTCCCTGTCGAGAAAAAACGCACACGTCCGAGCGATGCCAGTCTCGGCCTCGGGGGGCCCTCGCCGAGCCGCGAGGGGCCAGCTCCCTGGGGAACGGGCGCTCGACGCGATGCCCAGAGGCACTGTGTCGGGGCGTCTTGGGCTCCTCGCGTGGAGACGAGGCTCACGACAGCCAGGTCTTCGAGCGGCGCTCGGTCCCGAAGGTTTTTTTTTGTCGCTGCCCTCTTGGCCACAACGCGCGCGATGCCCCCCCCTCCCCCCCTGAGATCCTGGCGCCTCCGTTTCTTCCATCTGGGCGTTGTCGCCTTTGTTGTCGAGCCGCGGGGCCCTCGCAGATCGTTCCGGCTCGAACAATGGCGCAGAAAGTTGGGGTGTGGGGCTGCGGGCGTGATGCATTACGGTGCTGCATCTTTTTCGCCACGTCGGATCTCAGGGCCCCCCCCCAAGGCGTAACGCTCCTTCTCCCCCAGTGCGCCCCCGGCACTGCCGCAGCGCCTCCGGCACCGCAGGCTGTGGTGCCAGACTCGGGGGCGTTACGTCATGCCCCCCTCCCTCCTCCTCCTCCTCCTCCTCCTCCTCCTCCTCCTCCTCCTCCTCCTCCTCCTCCTCCTCCTCCTCCTCCTCCTCCTCTCCTCCCCCCCCCCACAGAACGCCCCTTGACCCCCGCTTACCCCACCCCCGGAGCGGTCCCACCCTGGCCCCAGCAGGCCCTCTCCTGCCCTCCAGGACCTGCCCCGAGCGGTCGCCAGAGACCCCATGATAGTTCTGGCCCGAGGATCGACGCCCTCGCGCTGCGATCGAGCCGCGACGGGAGGTGCTCTCCCCAGACA